AAAAGTCATGACATAATTATCTATGTTCTTATGCAAAACCATGTCATGACTTTCCCAATAACCCAATAGATGAAGGACTGTAAAACCAGATCTACCCACTTCATGGTTTCTAGAAATTTCATAGCTGATGCAAACCTACAAAGAACTCTGAACCCTGAAATAGAAACAGTTCATATGAAAAACCACAGACCTAAATCTCCTTAGGAAACAGCACCTGTGGGGGGAATGACATTTTCATTTTTCATACCAGGCTGAGTCTAGGCTAATAACATTTTCCCTGCTCTCTGAGCAGTGTTATTTGTTTTAGTCTTCTGTTTAGCCAAGGGAAGAATTAATTAGCAATTAGGTCTGCTGGAAATACACATGCAAGTGACACTCAGGTAATATTTATAGATGTGATGAGGCTATTATTCATCTATACCATGAAACTGGAAACAAAATTATGGAGTTTTCCAGTAAGGTATCAGAAGTTTATCATCCTACAGATGCAAAAATTGAAGGCCTGAGAAGTGATATATCCAGTGTTTCATAGTGAAATAATAAATCCAAGACTTGTTCCCCAAACTCCTGATTCTAAGTGTAGTTGTTCCTTTTCCTGCTAGGCTGCACTAATGTTTTTGAGAAATGGCTGAATTCCACTAAGCTAGTTTAGGTCTTTGAGGCGTTAACCTTTCCAAAGAACACTAAAATCTCATTAAGTCAAAATAATTGGAAGAACGACCAGGCTGAATTGAAGAAAAGTTTAAAATATTTGAAAAGATATGCAGCTTTTTCCTTTCAAGGCTATTTAGTAAACTGGAATAAATTACCACAGGACCAGGCCAAGCAGAGACCTTACTGAACCTGCTTCAAGGAACAAATAGGAATAATTTATAGATGGTACTTTTTTTTTTTTTTTTGAGAGGTTTTCGTTATGGGGCACGTGCGCTCGCCAGACAGACAGAGACATAGAGACAGAAAGCGAGAAATCACCCCCCCAGGGAGGGATGGTAACGCCACAATCCCTTCTCCTCCATTCTCCTCTCAGGATCTTGGGCACACACGCACACCGCCTGGTGTGAGTTCTAAGCCACCGGGTCCGGGACGCGAACTGTGGTTGACTATATGGGAGTCCAGCGACATAGACATTATGCTAACTGCTGGTTCCCAATTTATAGGTGGTACATTAATGGGTTGCATGTCAGTAATGACTGTGAAAGATATTTCAGGCGTTTGAGGAGATTCTTTTTTTTTTTTTCTTCAAAAATTTGATTTATTGAGACCAGCAGTTGGTGTAATGGCTATGTTGCTGGACTCCCATGTAGTCGACTGCGGTTCGCTTCCTGGACCCGGTGGCTTAGAACTCATGCCGGGCACATGTGTGTGCGTGCCCAAGATCCCGAGAGAAGAATGGAGGAGAAGGGATTGCGGCGTGGTCGTCCCCCCAGGGGGGTGATTTCTTGCTTTCTATCTCTCTGTCTCTCTCTGTCTGTCTGGCGAGCGCATGCGCCCTATAGCAAAAACTTCTAAAAAAATTTTTTTTTGATTTATTTACTTCTTCCATGAAAGAGAAAGAGAGGCATCCCCACCAGGGTCCCACACTATGACCTCCCCCCAGCCTTGCCAGCTCAGATCATGGTCATGCATACACACCCAGTGTGTATAGGAGGCCTCGCCATGTGAACCTGGAACCTTCCCACATGGATCCAGCATCACAGTTTTCTGTTACCACTGCACCAGTGGCTAGCCTAAAAACACATTTTTTATTAAGTATGAACTAAGTATTTCCATGAAAATTCACTTTATTAAGAAATTCACCTAGCAGGGACCTGCCGGGGGTGTGGTGGTTGAGGCTCTGGACTCCCACATGGCTGACTGCTGTTTGAGTCCTCAGACCTGGCAGCTTGCTTTCTCACTTTCGCACTCTTTCTCTCTGGTCAAACTAAAAAAAAAAAAAAATAGTGATAATAATAATGGATAAAAATTTTAAACATTTACATAGCAAACTTACACAAATATAAATATAAACATCAAACCACATGTTAAAATTAACGTATGTTTGATTTAATGGCATGTAAATGAACCTGTTTTTCCTGTTTTGCTGCGTCTGTCTGGCAGTATTTTCTGTAGATCATGGCACAGAAACGCTGATGTTTGTCTCTCTTGCTTTCTATCTCTGTAATTTTTCATCTATTGAAGGCCAGCAGAAAGCCTCCTAATGCTTCCACAGTTTGGAAGCATTTCTAGTTGTGCCCTTTCCTCACCATTCCTCACCACCCACCCTCCCGTGGCACCAAAGGACCTGTACTTCCTGTCACCAGTTGTGGGACGCCTGAATTTCCTACATTTGGTGCCCCTAGTTGTTTTTGCTCAAACATCAGACATTCATTACTTCAGATATCCAGAAATATTGGGCCTGGTCATCTCTGATTCTGTTTAACTCCCCACAAGACACTATTCCTGAGAGGTTCCGAGGGCCTCTCTAGGTTTCTCTCAAGTTGGCCTCTTCCTCCTTGGCTGCCTGAAATTTGCAGCAGTTGACCTAGTAGGTAACACGTGAGAGCCCCAGGCTGGCTAAGGGGATACTATTGATTAACAAAACAGGGAGGAGATTTGGGAAGACAATCTTTCATGTTCCCAAGCCCATCAGTGTGTTCAAAGCTGAGGAAAATTGTCTCTGGGGACCAAAGGTTTCCTGCTGGCTGAGATGCCCTAGGAATGATTCAATGGATGAAAACCGATCAAACCCAAAGAGATGGCTACAGATACTTCGGGCATTCAATGCTACCACCTACCCTGATGAAATAGCTGCAGTTAAAAGCGAAACAGAGCAAGTCAGGCCTTCTCTGCTGGTGGCCTGCTGCCCCCCTCTGGAGAGGCTGGGAACTGAAGCCTTCCATCCACCTTCCAGTTCTGGTTTCCATTATTTCAGGGTTGGCATTGGCTTGGTTGTCTGACCCTCAGGTGCTCTGCTGCGGTGTAGTGTCAGACCATCAGCCGGA